TGAGCCAGCCACAAAAAGACAGTATTATATGTTTCTACTTATGTGAGCAATTAGTCATATCTCCCTCCCTTGATCCTCCCTTTTACTGGAGACCCCTGAAAATTTACCAGAAACCTCTACAGTAGGCTCCAGTCTCCTGCTCAGTCTATGATCCAGGCCTGAGAAAAAAACTAAAAGACAAAACAGAGAGAGACAGAAAGCGGGGCACCAGGACAACCAATACCAGTGCAATCAACAAAGGTGCTGATCTGTCCAAGCCACTCATTTTTATTAGTAATCAGTTGGGGTAAAGACAAGCTACTTGCAAGGGCAGTACTATGTGCAAGGATCAGAAGTTGTGTGGTTTCTATGGAAATTAATGTAAGCAAGGGTCATAAAAGACAAGACAAAGCCATCTCTAATTAGGAATAGAATAGACAAAATATATGGTTGTAATTAGAACATTATCCTTCTAGTTAAGAAGGTTTTAGTTGTAGGAATGGAATTTGGGTGCGAGTTACTCTGACTTCAGCACATAGGCTTTGTGGGGACTTGTTCTCAAAATGAGAAATTGTGGGGTTAACTCTTCACAGCCTGCACTGCTTACAGCCTGCTTTGAGCATAATCAATATTGCAATCTCCCACACCTTTTCTGCTGTACTTGCTGAATGCCATGCTGTAGCATCTTTTCTTCCACCATGCCCCTTGACTATCCTGTTTCTGCCTTGGGCCCTGCTCCCCATGGGCTGAAGCCATGATCCAAAATGAACTTCTCCTCCTTTAAGTTGTGGGTATCGGGTATTGTTTCTCAGTGATGGGAAAATGACTAAGACAGTAATCATAAAGTGATGCTGCCTTTCATAGTTCCTTCCTTTCCTATATACCTGCTTGCCCTTCTGCTTTCAGTGTGGGTTGACACAGCACAAAGCCCTAGCTGGTGTTGTGCTCTTGGAATCACCACCTTCCAGAACTATGAGCCAAATAAACTTCTTTTCTGCATAAATTAGCCAGGCTCAGGTATTCTGTTATAATAACAGAAAATAGATGAAGACTGTACATTGTATCACGATTTATAAAAAAGAATCTAAAGCCCTCCTTCATTAAACATCCTGGTATTTGCATTATTCTATTGAATCCTGGCAGCAATATTCTGAGATAAATTCTACCATTGCACTCATTTTACAGATGAGAAAAACTATGACAAAGAGGTGACATGATTAGCCTGAGTTTACCCAGCAAATAGGAAGGGTAGAATTCAGCACAGGACCCCTGACTCCAGGTCCTGCTGTCTCCTCACTGCCAACCCGGGGCCCTGGCTTCAGACAGAGTTACCCTTTCTCTTATACTTTCCACAGTTCAGCTCAAATTCCCTGCCAGGGGACAGCAAACAGGATCCAGATGCTGGATACCCCCTGAGCAGGACAGGCTCTAACTTGAGACTCCTCTGCCAGGGTTTCCAAATGCATCCCAGACATCTGCTCTGGACATCTCTGGTGCCCTCCTTCTGGGGTAATGGGGGACAGAGGGGCCACCAAGCCTGGCCATAGGCCTGGACAATGACTGTGGGCTGTAGGGTTTGGTACCAGCACTTGGTGGTTCTCCTCTAAGGCCCCAGGTATGTTCCTGCAGGCCCCAGAAGGTGATATTCATATTATTCCTACCTGGATTCCTCTCCTGGGGCTGTCATAACCACAAACTGTGTGGTCTGAACAACAGAAATTTGTGGTCTCACAATTTTGGTGCCTAGAAGTCTGAAAATCAAGTCAGGGGAAGGCTTAGTTCCTTCTGAGGGCTGGGAGAGAGAACTGTTCCAAGGCTCTTTGAGCTTCTGGTGGGTGTTCCTTGGCTTGCACACGACCACCTTTTTCCAGTGTCTTTATACCATCTTCCCCCTATATATATCTGTCTGAATATCCAAACACCACCCCCCTCTTTTTCTTTTGGATCGAACTCGGGACCTTGCGCTAGCGAGGCAGGCGGTGGAACCACTGAGCTAAATCCCCGGCCCCTCCAAATACCCTTTTATATGAAGTGTGATCAAAACATACAATGAATGCTTTAAAAAATTAATACAATAAAAAACATATTACCATGTATCCCCCTCAAAATACTCTCCATATTTTCTTTTTTAAAGGTTTATTATTATTATTATTATTATTATTATTTTATTTATTTTTTTTTTTAGGTACCGGGGATCGAACTCGGGTCCTTGCGCTTGCGCAGCAGGCAGAGAAACCACTGAGCTAAATCCCCGGCCCCTCCATGTTTTCAAACACACTTATCCTTGACACTTTCTGAAGCAGTTCTGGAAGTTCTCATTTGTGTCTTTACAAATTGTGATTTTGGGCCGGGGATTTAGCTCAGTGGTTCCGCCACCTGCCTCGCAAGCACAAAGTCTGGAGTTCAATCCTCGGTACCAAAAAAATGAACAAATTGTGATTTTTAAAAATGTAAATGATGCTCCTAGCTGAGTGGCATCCAATGGAAAGTCAGGCTCACAAGAATATTATTCTGTGTCCTCCTCAACTTCATTCTTCCTCCCTGGCTCCTCCCTTCTGTGCTTCCTGGCCAACCTGGCATGAGCAACTTTCCTCTACCCAAGTCTTTCTACCATGCCTTCTTCCCTTGGAGCTGGCTAACTACGGCCTAAAAACATGATCCCAAATAAACTTCCCCTTTAAGTTGTGGGTGTTGGATATTTTGTCCCAGTGACCAGGAAAGTGACTAAGACACTGACCTTTTCTTGAGTCCAAGCTTTCTCTTGTCCCAGGCCTCCTCTGTGCTATTTCTGTTGTTTCCTCTGTCCAGCCCTCAGGCTTCACCTGAAAGCTTTCTACTCAAACACACAAACTCTATTTCAATCCTCCTCCAACTTCCCATGGCAACCTAGGTTGTTAGGGCTCCCTGGGGCTGTCACTATTACAGGCTATTGCACCAGATTATAATGGTGGGTCACCTGCTCTCTGGACTAGGAGCCCAGCCATGTTATCCACTTCCATCTTGCTCATTGTACCATGGCTGCCTCACGGTTGGGATCCTGTGGTGTTTCAAGGGGCCATAAGAGTCAGACATGGTTAGACCTTTCCTCCACCTCCCACTCCTGAAAATCTTCCTTCCTCAGATTCTTGGGCATACTTTTTTTTCTCACCTTTAAAATCTTAAGTTCTGGAGCCAAACACACTGGGCAACATAGCAAGTCTCTGTCTCAAAGAAAAAAAATTAAGTTCTGTTTAAATGTGTTTTAATATATATGCATACATATATATATATATACACATCAGCTTTATTAAGATAAAATTTATATATCAGTGGTGGTGGACCTATTGCACACATTGCTCCAATGAGCTATTGGTATTATTATTATTTTTTGTTTTTGTTTTTGTTTTTTTGTGGTACTGGGGATCAAACTGTTTGTATTATTAAAAGCTCTAAAGGATTCGCCATCACTTATACACCACCCAATTCACCTATGTAAAGTGTACAATTCAATGATATTTAGAATAGTCATAAGGTTGTGCAAACATTACCATAATCAAATTTAGAACATTTTTATCACCCTGAGAAGAAACTCTGTCGCCATTAGCAGTCACTATCTGTTATCCTAACCTCATCCCCTTCCCTGGCAATCACCAATCTCCTTCCTATCTTTGTAGATTTGTTCATTGTGAACATTTCATATATGGACTCATGCAGTAAGTGGTCTTTTGGGCCTGACTTCCTTCACTTTAGTGTAATGTTTTCCAAGTACATCCAGGTTTATCAATTGTTCTTTCTTTTGATAGTTTAACACTATTACATTGTACTAGTGGATGGATAGGCCACATTTTGTCTCTATTCATTTGTCATTGGACATTTCATTTCCTCCCACTTTTTGGCTATTATGAATTGCTTCTATGAACATTCACACTTGTGTGAATGTGTTTTCATTTCTCTTGAGTATACACCTAGAAGGTGGTAAATATATTTTTTTAAAATTAATAATAACTTATGTGCACGAGGGATGTAGCTCAGTGGCACCACACCTGCCTGGCAAGCACAAGGTCCTGAGTTGGATCCCTGGTAGGGATGGAGGGGATTGAACCCAGAGCCTTGTGCATGCTAGGCATGTGTTCTACCACTGAGCTATACACTCAGCCCCAAAATATCTTATATTCTTAATTATAAAAATGATACATCAGCCGGGCGTGGTGACACACGCCTGTAATCCCAGCACTTGGGAGGCTGAGGCAGGAGGATCGCTGCAAGTTCGAGGCCAGCCTGGCTACATAGTGAATTCAGGGCCAGCCTGAACTACAAAGGGAGACCCTGCCTCAGAAAACAAAAAAACAAACAAACAAAAAAGATATATCAAAGATCACAAGAGTAACAAGTTGGAAACAAAAAAATGTTGACACAGCCACAATGTGCACACAGATATCTTGGGTCCAGTCCTGTGAGCATTCCCTTGCTCATGTGAACTTACACGGATGTGACAGGGCAGCCGTGTATGAGGAAACTGATACCTCCCACCCTGTGCAGAAGGCAGCCCTTTGATCCTGCATGGAACTGTCAAGGAAGAACCATTCAGTGCAGATTTTAAGTAAAACCAATTTTGACTTCAAAGGACAAATAGGGAGGTATAAAAAATGAGTATTTTCACCTGGATGGGGGCAAAGAAAGATATTCAAAGGGCTGGGACCTCTTCTTTCCTTAATAAAATGGAGTGGGGAGTTTAAAAAAGACCTAAAAAAAAAACCCTGAGGAATCTGTATATTACGGTGTATGGATTAGAGGTGACTCATTTTCTTTTAAATCACTTTAGTGGGGCCGGGGATTTAGCTCAATAGTTCCACCACCTGCCTCAGAAGCACAAGGTCCTGAGTTCCACCCCCGGTACCAGAAAAAAAAAAAATCAAACAAAAATCGCTTTAGTGATATTATATTGTTATTATGTTTTACCACTAAAAAGACTGAGAAGGCACTGAGGAATTACTGATGACAAAGAGTGATTTTATGGAACTCAGCAAAAAAGGTTTTTCTGTTCATTTATTGTTTCTTGCGAGAACTGGTTTGCTAATGCAGAAGCTAAATAAGCAGACAGCTGTAGACCTGAGGGAAGCTACCACCATACATCTTCAGGAATGGGATTTGCTTAAAAGCACAGAAGGAAAGGGAGTAAGAAGAGGCCTAAGAGGTAAGCAGGTAAGAAAGACATTTTAATTTTCACAATTAAAATCATTGTGACAGAGCCAGGTATAATAATGCACACCTGCAATCCCAGCAAAAAGATGGCAATTTTACAGCCAGCCTAGGCTATGTGGTGAGACTCTCAAATAGATAGATAGATGATAGATAGATAGATACAGTAGATAGATGGATGTGAAAGTGGTATGCAGTGGCACATGTCTGCAATCCCAGCTACTCAGGAGGGTAAGGCAGGAGGATTCCAAGTTCAAGTCCAGCTGGACAATTTAGCCAGACTTTGTTTCAAAATAAACAATGAAATGAGCTGGGAATATAGTTCAGTAAGAGACTCTGGGATCAAGTCCCAGCACAACAAATACAGGAAGGAGGGAGGGAAGGAAGGAAGGAAGGAAGGAAGGAAGGAAGGAAGGAAGGAAGGAAGGAAAGAGGGAAGGAAATCATTGTGAAAAAATCTAAAATTGTACAGGGAATGATAATACATGCCTATAGTCCCAGCTATGCTGTAGGCTAAGATAGCAGGATCACTTGAACCCAGGAGTTCAGGGTAACAGTGAGACCTTGTCTCAAAAACAATAAATAAAAACCTTAAATTCTTTACCATACTATTTTTAATAGCATCCTGTGACCATTATGTCAATTTGACTTGAGTAAGAAGCACCTAGGAGATTAGTAGAGCTCAGTTTTAGGTGTGCCTGTGGATGTTTGACATAGAGGCCAGCAAATTGAGAGGAAGACCCATGCCAGATGTGGCAGCCACTAACCAATAGGCTTGTAGCCTGGATGGAATATAAAGAGAAAGGAGGAAGTGTGCCAATTTGGAAGCGCTCCAGTGTTCACCATTGCCTTTCAACATCTGTCTCCATTTTCTTCCACTTTTCAATGCAGAAGCACACCAGTGACTGTACAGTGAGCGGTCAGGCCATTGATCTTTGATCTTTGACTGGTGCAGCATCCTGGATCTGTCTTGTTCTGCAGTTTTCATCTTTTCTTGGGCTAAGCAGCTACTGGATCCTCCAGCTACCCAGCACAGATGGTCATTGTGGACGTTCCTGACTCTGATCCTGTAAACTTACATAATAAATTCCCTTGTATGATTACACATTTATTTTACATTGATTCTGTTCCTCTAGAGAAACCTGATATGCATCCCCATGTGAACAGTGATTGATAATTCTAGTAATTATACTCAATGTTTTGTTTTTTATTGTATTATTATTATTATTACTTTTTTTTTTTTTTTGAGACAGCCTGCTCTTGCATTCACTATGTAGCCCAGGCTGGCCTTGAACTTATGGTGATCTTGCCTCAGTCTCTTGAGTGATGGGATTACAGACATGTACCATCAGGCCTGGCTATACACAATGTTTTAAAAAATAGCCTGCTTATTATAAGATTACTATTAAATAGAAAAACATACTAGTCTACTCAGAGGTATAATATAGATAGAGGTGGAAGAATGCCTAGCATAGAATCTGCTACTTTCCCATCCTGTAACCAGAGAGGACATTGCTAGTTGATGACAGAAGTCTTCCACAAATCTAAAGACTTTTTTTTTTTTTAGGTACCAGGGATTGAACTTGGGTCCTTGAGCTTGCACAGCAGGAGGCGAAACCACTGAGCTAAATCCCCGGCCCTCTATTTCTTTTTATACTCAAAAGGCATCTTCTAGAGTGGAAAGAAGAAAAATCCAACTTCTGTGTAGGTGCTGAACCACACCACCACCTAGTGGTAGAGCTTCTAATTGCAAGCAGAGTGCTGAGAAACTTCACAAACCCAAAGCAATGAGTGCTTCTATCTAGTCTTGGGTAAATACAATATCCCCCCTATAGAACAGTTTGGAATTTCAACATGGGTTTTCCTTGCTTGGCCCCAAGAGATTGGCTAGTAGAATCATTTCAGGCAACAGGTGGAAGCAAAGGGTCTTTAGAAAATTTCAGACTCTTCTCCAAAATTCTCTTGGACAAGGCTGACTCAGCCTTGTCAGTCTCAGTCCAAGCCTACCCAGATGTCTCACTCTCCATACAATGTGTAACACACTCTGTGTAACACCTTCTGAATTCACACGAGTACTCTCTCCTGAGCACTGTATGAGCAAGCATCAGGCAAGGAAATAGACATGCCTAATTTAAACGTTCCTCATTGCTAGCTCCCCTGAGACAAGTGTTGTTATCTCCATTTTATAAGTGGGATCACTGAGGCTCAGAGAGAAAAAGTAATTTGGCCAAGGTCACACTGAAGGGGAGACAAAGGTGTGATTAATACCTTCTGGCCAACTGGGGCCCCTGCTATATTCCCATGTTGGACTCTTCCTTGAGCACAGGCTACTCATCTTGCTGCCAGAGGAGTCCAAGGCACATCAGTGGTAGCCCTGGAAATATCCCACCAGGGCCAGCCCCAAGCAGTGAAGAAGGGCCAACAGGACCCTGTCAGGAGGGTAATGGGTAGAGTGCAGAGTGCTGCCCCCTTCTGGATCTGACCCTTCTGGATCCCTGCTCCAGCCAGAGTTTGAATCTGGCTCAGGGACTTCTAGCTGTGGGTGTTCACTTCCCTCCATGGCCTCCCTCTCCACTGAGACGCCTTCTCACTGTGGTGGGAATATGCATGTGTTACAGAAATGAGGACTTAGAGCTGACACAGAAAGAAATGGGCAGGAAGACAGCCAATTTTACTTCATGTGGCTCCATCTTTAGACATGGGATGAGGGGGGGACCCTGGCTCTCTGCAGGCCTGACCTCTGGGGGCAGGTCCTCCTTTCCAGCTCCATCTCATCTCCCCATCTTCCCCTGAATGGCCTCCACTTAGATATATTCCAACCATGTGGGAGGCTACAGCCAGGCCTCCTGAGGACAAAGGCACAGTATCCTTCCTGGGAAAACAGGGAGGGGACACTGCCCTTAGGAGCTTCTCTTCTTGTCCCAGCCAGGGGACAATTCTTGAGTCATCTCTGTCCCCGAAATGCTCTCCCTGCCTATTTGTGCTCCCTGGAGGTGAAGATCTACATAGAGGCCTCACCCCAGCACTCAGGGGCCCTCCCAGGCTGTTGGCAATAGCTGCCAGCCTGGAATAATAAGGGCTGCCATTTTATACGAGCAGACACACACTCTAATTTCATTATGAGGGAAAAGAGTGACCATGCTATGTGTACTTTTTGGTGTTACTTTTTTTTTCCAAACTGTGTAAACACCCTCATCCCTCAGTTCACCTTTCCAGAGGCAGATTAGTACCACTTTCTTATGAATTCTTCCAGAGAACATGTGTACATGATTCAAGTGTTTATGGGTATAATGATCTAACAAATTTTGTCTTGAAGTCTGCTTTGTCAGATATAACTACTCCTTCCTTTTGAGCTGCATTAGCATGGAATATTTTTTCCATTCTTTCCCTTTCAGTCTGTGTATGTCTTTGCTAATGAGCTATGTTCTTTCAGACAGCCAAATACTGAGTCTTTTTTTTTTTGGTACCGGGGATCGAACTCGGGACCTTGCACTTTTGCAGCAGGCGTCGAAACCACTGAGCTAAATCCCCGGCCCCCGAGTCTTATTTTTAATCTAACCTGTGAGTCTGTTCTTTAATTAAAGAATTAAGACCATTTATATTTCAGAGTTATTATAGAAATGTATGTACTCATTCATCATTTTGTTGTTTTTCTAATGTTTGATTCTTTTCTAATTCTCAACAGCTTATCTATCTTTCCTCTTTTGTATGTAGAATTTCTTTTAGTATCTTCTGCAAAGCTGGCCTAGTGGTTATTATTTCACCTTCAGTTTGAAGGATACCTTTGCTAGATGTAGTATTCTAGGTTGGCAATATTTTCTTTCAGGGTTGGAAATGCATTGTTCCATGCCTTCCTGGTTTAGGAGTTTCTGTCAGAAAGACTGCAGTTATTCTGATGGGATTGTCTCTGTAAGTGACTTGGCATTTCTCTCTTGCAGCTTTTAATATTTCTTCTTGTTCTGTACCTCAACATTTTAACTATTATGTGACACGGGGAGGTTCTTTTCCTGGTCATGCCTGTTTTGGGTTCTAAATGGCTTTATCTTTCCCAAGATTTGGGAAAATTTCTGTTACTACTCACACCATGCATTAGTCTATACCCTAGAGCCCTCTTCTACAACAAAATTTGTAAGTTTAGTCTTTCAGTCATGTTCCAGCCTTTTTGGATGTAATTTCCTATTTTTTTGTTTAAGTTCTTTTATTGGTACATTTTAGGTATGCAATACATTTACATTTATCATTGGGTGCTTGTACCTGTACATGATGTATCTTGGTTCTTATCTTTTCCCCATTACCTGTGCGCCCTTCACCCCCTCCACCCTTCCCTGTTTACATAGATTTTGTTTCCATTTTTTTCTTTTCTCATAATTTTTCCTTTCCCTTCTTTCCTTTCCCCTTCCCCTCCCACCACCCCTCCACCTTTGGACCTTTTCCCATTTCAAATTATCAATTATTCATTATTAATCTTTTTAATCCTTATTTACACTTTCAGTTTCTCACACTAGAGAAACTATTCAGTATTTACACACATGTGTCCTATTTATTTCACTTAAGAGTATGGCCTCAATATGCATCCATTTAGCTATAAATGACTCCAGTTTCTCATTCTTTTTTTTTTTTTGGTGCTGGGGATCGTACTTGGGTCCTTGCGCTTGCAAGGCAGGCAGCGGAACCACTGAGCTAAATCCCCGGGCCTAGTTTCTCATTCTTTATGGCTGAGTAGTACTCCATTTTATTTAAAAAACCCACATCTTCTTTATCCATTTTCCAGTTGATGGGCACTTGGGTTGTTTCCAAGCTTTCACTTTACAAACTGTGCCACTACTGCAATGATATCTTTACATTCAGTTACTAAAGAGTTATGGACCTTCAGAAGAATCATGGTACCTTTACCTTCATATTTTTTATGTTTCTATATTGAGATTTGTGGATCCATTGGAATGGATATCTTGTCTACTTTTATGTGTCTTCTTAGTGTTCAGTCTTCTTTTCAGGGCTTGATTCCTAGCACCACTCAAAAAGAGGCAACAAATAAGATATTGACATACAGTTAAAAGCAACAACTATGCCACCATTAATAACAAAAAAAGAAAGCAACAATAATATGAACTAAAAGGCTAAAAAAAAATAAATGTTAAAAATAACAGTAATGAATAGAGGGAGTAGGGAAAGGGAAAATGGAAGAAAGTAAAAAAAAAATTTTTTTGGTACTGGGGATCAAACTTGGGACCTTGTGCTTACAAAGCAGGCGGCAGAGCCACTGAGCTAAATCCCCAGGCCTGAAGAAGTAAAAAAAAATTTTTTGGTACCAGGGATTGATCAAACTTGGGACCTTGCACTTGCAAGGCAGGCACCGGAACCACTGAGCTAAATCCCCGGGCCAGAAGTAAAATTTTTAAAAAGGAAAAGAAGATAAGAAATAAGAAATAAAAATTCAATTGAGAATAAAAAAGTTTTAAAAAAAATACCAGCTGGGGGGCCGGGGATTTAGCTCAGTGGTTTCACCGCCGCTGCACAAGCTCAAGGACCCAAATTCGACCCGGTACCAAAAAAAAAAAAAAACCAGCTGGGGCTGGCTGGAGATTTAGCTCAGTGGCTCTGTGCCTGTCTGCCAAGTGCAAAGTCCTGAGTTCAGTTCCCAATACTGAAAAAAAAGGTAAATAAAATTAGGTAAAAGTAACAGAAAAAACAACAAACAAGAAAAAGAAAAAGAAAAAAGAAAGAAAGAAAACTCAAAAACAAACATAGAAAAAGAGAAACAGGTCCAAAAATTATCCCCACATCAGTATGTCTGGATGGTAAAGTTTCCTCCCAGGACCTATAGTATTGGAAGGCATCAGGTACTAGGTTGCAATTGGGCCCAGTTGTGTTTCCAAACCCACTTAACAGCCTGTTTCTGTGTGAATGCTGAGTCTTGCCCTGTCTTTCCCAGGGGGCAGGGCCAGTCAGTGGTATGTTGTTTGCCTCAGGGTTGTATTCACTTCAAAGACTTTTAGTGTTTGTGTCCTCTGTGCATCCTGAGCCACTTCTGTACCTGACTACAGTAGCTTTGTGGCCCATGGGCTTGTGAGGCTCTCTGCTTGCTCCAGAGGCCTCTCTGTCTGTACACCCAGGGATGTGGAAAATGTGTAAAGAGGATTGAGCAAGAATAGAAGCCAAGTTAAACTTTGGAGAGCTTTCTTAATTGCCATCCAGATAGTAGAGGCAGCCCCTCCTACTACAATTGTAGAGCTGCAAGACATTTAATGTCTTACTTGCCTCTGTTGTAGGGCTCCAAATAGGGCAAAAGATTGTTCTTAACAAAGTTTACTAAGAGTAGCTCCTCATTGTTTCAAACATAGAGAATAGAATTTGATCCCATATCAATGTATTGGGGCCTGGGATTTAGCTCAGTGGTTCTGCTGCCTGCCCAGCCAGCACAAGGACCCCAGTTCGATCCCCAGTGCCAACCCCCCGCCAAAACCATATCAATGTATTAACTCTTAATTTTTAGAAAACTCTTTTATTAATTTTCCAAAATTATATTCAACTTTACCATTAATATGAGTTTCCTTTTATACATTTCATTCTTCATAGAATTTCCATGACTTATGTTAACTTTACGGTTTTATTTTCATCTTTTTTTCTTTCATTCTGGTATGGCAAAATTTTATCATACAAAATTCTTTCCTGTCCAAAAGTATTCCCTCTTCATATTGCTGTCTTTCTTTACATCTGCCCCAGTTCCTTTCTTAAATCTGCACCCTAAAATTATACCCATAAACCTTACTCTAGACAAAATCATTCTTCCTCTAACAAAAATTCCAGGTCTTCCTACAGCTTTCCCATCAAAACACAGCCCAGCCTCCCTGTTTATAGAATTACACATATTAATTAGAATTTTTAACTCTCAATCTTATCCTTTACAGAAGACCCAGCAAAAAGCAATCATGAACTATTTTTATACACACCAACAATTTATGACTTGAATAAACCTGTTCATGTAAAAGATCAACAGTCTCTACTTGAGTACCCCCAAGTGGGAGTGGGGAGGCTGGGTTTAGAGTGTGGAATACCCACAAGGTGACATTTAAAAGGAGAGCCTGATGTTGCAATAGCCAGCTTCAGATCAACCAGTGATGCCCCTTTGCCTCTAAGACAGCTTGAATCTGGTGAGGGTCTGTACTTCCAGAGATCGGTGGAGGTTTAATTTAACTTAGTAGCCTTCAGGCAATCAGGCCATCTTAGTGTCACTCTAAGTGCTTGCAGAAATGGGTCACCATTCAGGGGACATCTCCTAATCTCTGAGTAAGGACTCCTATTGCCACCCCTTTTCAGAGATAATAATGGAGGGCAAACCCAGAGCTAAGGCTGGGAAAGTGTTTTCCAGTCTGGAAAGGCAGCTGGCACTTATCTCATTAAAGGTCCCTATTTCTCCCTCTTTAAAGCCTCATACAGAGGCCTGGCTATCAGGCTAATCCCAGGTATCCAGATGTGGCAGAAGGCAGCCATTCCCAGGAAGGTCTTAAACTGCCTTTTAGTTTGGAGGTGAGCATACCTTGAGAATTGCCTCTTCCTCTCAGCGGCTAGAGTTCTTATGCTGGAATCAAGGTCATAGCCCTAGTATTTTAGTTCCTGGGAAGAAATTTGGGACACTTCAAGTGACACTCCAAATCATCATTGTGCCAGGAAATCTAGAACCTGTATTACTCTATTTCTAGTTACATTTACTATATTGAAGGTAAGAAAAGGTCTTCTCTATCAATGTTCTAATGATGAGGAACTGTACTGACAAGTTCTCGCAGCTGGGCTCACTGTTGTACACAATGGCCAGCTGTAGATGTAATGTTCCTCTTTTTGCTTTGTTTATGGTGTTGGCTTCCAGCCATAAGTTACCTTAAATTGTCCCAAAGGTATTCCAACAAAAGAGTTGTAATTTTGGCATTTTTAACAGAGGGTTGGGGTATTCTTTGCTGTCTACAGTGAGATGCTTTTTGTCTATGTGTTCTTTCAACTGATATGCTTACTACAACTCAGGTAATGGAGCTCAAACTAAGGGGTACAGAAGTTTATGACCCATACAGGGAAGAAGCTAAAGTTGATGACCATGTAGTGCATGTAATTCACAAGCTAAATTAGACACTCAAAGTTTTTGTAACAAACATTCCAATGCCCACCCCTCCCCCCATCAATAGTGTCACCTGCCATGTGCCATGTCAGTGGTGACAGCAAGTTGTCCATGGGGAGCCATGGGAGGCTTTGGGCTGTCAGTCTCCTGTACTTTTGGCCATCATAAGTTCAGGCTTCCCTGGCCTGCCCTGAAGTTGGGGACATTCCTTTTTCCAGTGACCTCCTTGTTTACAGAAAGCACACTGGTTGTTCTCAAAGGGCTGGCGATCCAAAGCTATAGCCTTGGGCAAAACCCAGGGTCCAGTCTCACCAAGGTACTATTATTCAGGTCACCATGAAGTAGCTGGGAGCTTAAGGTCACATATAAGAATTCAACCTTTTGTTCTGTCCTCCTGGTCCTCACTGTCTCCTCTACTGTGCAGCAGTGGGAGATCAGTATGTAAATGTCACCAAGGTCAGAGTAAAGGTCAGGGTAGCCCTTTTAATCAGTAAAGCAGTTGGGAGTCTCAGAGAATCAACCAAACCTCTCTACATGTGCCTAAGACAGACACGGAGAAAGGCACACGCGCCTGTATAGTGGCTCTTCCTCCCTCTGTCACTACCCAGAGATGGTAGAGTCGGGGACTGGGTTGGTAGGGAACTCTGCACCTGGTGCTATCAGGACTGGATCCCTCTGGCAGAGGGGATTATAGAATGGCAATAGAGAGATATGGTGGTGCTGTTTCATGGGTTGCTAGGGCTCCAGGCACCTTAGTTAAAGTAGTTGGAGTGACGGGAGTCACCAGAAGGCTCCTCGTTAGCCAACCAGGAGAATGGGAAAGGGTCTGAAAGGAAGGTAAAAACTCTTAAATACTTATCCAAGTATAGAGCCATAAAAGTTTGGACATAAAAAAAAACTTCACCCCATTTGCTTTCCCTCCTTCAGAACAAATCTAGCTACAAGATTGTATTATGACTGAGGGACCCATTTTTTTTGGTCACATGTTGTTCTTCAGTTGATACAGAGGCCAGACCATGTTACAAAAAGAAAATCAGCTTCTTTTTCTTTAAACTTTCTTCCTTAAATTTCTCCCAATTAGCTAAAAGCATCCTAATGGTGTCATTTGGCATGCTCTCTGTGACCCCAATATTTTGGTAGAACTTTTATCAGATGGAGGGGTTGCAAAGTTGAATGACAAAAAGACCCTAGTGAGACTTGTTACTGCTCTCTGGTTATCTGGGATAAGACAGCTGTAGTAACCAAATCCCAAAGGAAAAAGCCCTCCCGGTCTCCCAGTATTTTTAAAAAGACAGTAAGGGAGTGCAAGTTACAAACCACCAGAAGGGGGTGCTGTCTGAGAGGTAGGTGTGGGTGTGCAGTGGAAGCACAGACAGCAGTTAGCAAGTACAGAGCGGACAATGGGGGAGATAAATGCAGGGAAATCTAAGAAATTGAGACCCCCTGCCCAACAGAAAAATCTATCTTCAGTAGGAAAAAGAATCAATGCCTCTCGAAACCACAATCAATTGGGACAAACGAACAGGGCCCGATATCCAATTCCCACTTAGGTGCAAGTCCTATGGGAATTTGTTCCTATTGGAATGTCTTTCTGTACCCCAGAAGATCAATCCTCCAGAAAACACAACCAAAAGTTTGATCAAATCTTAATTATTAATTAGACCTGAGAGGAAATTATTAATTTTCCCAAAAGGAAAGCCTTTTAGAATACTGTGAGTCCTCATGTGTAAATACCGAATAGTTTCTCTGGTGTGAGAAACTGAAAGTGTAAATAAGGACTAAATGTATAATAGGTAATGTGAAATAGGAAGAAAAGGGGCAAAGGGGAAGGAAGTGGGAGGGGTAGGGGAAAGGATAGAAGGGAATGGGATTAATATGAGAAAATGGAAAAATAGGAACAAAATCTTTGTAAATAGGGAGGACTGGAGGGGTTGAAGGGAGGGCTGGGCAAGGGTGAAAAATAAGAACCAAGAGAGATTATGTAAAGGTGCAAATTTCCAATGATGAATGTCATTATATTGTATACCTAAAATGTGCCAATGACTAGAATGAATAATCGATAATGTAAAATAGGAAGAAAAGGTCCAAAGGGGTAGGGGTAGTGGGAGGGGCAGGGGAAAGGAAAGAAGGGAAAGGAAAAATGATGAGAAATGGAAAAAAATGGAAGTAAATTCTTTGTAAATAGGGAAGGGTGGAGGGCGTAAAGGGAGGGCTAGGAATGGGGAAAAAATAAGAACCAAGATGCATTATGTAAAGTTACAATTCCCAATGAGAAATGTAATTGTGTCTACAGCCATACCACCCTGAATGCGCCCAATCTCGTCTGATCTCGGAAGATAAGCAGGGTCGGGCCTGGTTAGTACTTGGATGGGAGAAATGTAATTGTGTTGTATACCTACAATGTACCAATAAAAGAATTTAACACACACAAAAAAAGAATCTGTGAGTCCTTAATGGAAAGACAGAAGAAAAAAAAAATCTCACAAGACAAAAAAGGAGGAGGCAGAAAAAAATTTTCAGAATTTTAAAGCTACTTCCTAGAATATGTGCACCTAGTTTGCACAAGAGGAATGATTAGTTAACACCAATTCTAATTAGTTTTAGGTTCCCTTGAGGAACGGAAGAAAATATTTGCTCAAAAATCACAGTGCACCAAACCAAGCCACAATACTACCTGGAGGACTAGAGTGGCAGAAACATTCTGCTACCTCGATTACTAGGTGATCAAGCCAGGGCCTTTGTGGCCTAACCCACCCTCCCTGCAGTGGTCTCTATCATGTGATCCAGGCCCCCTGAGGCTCTGGGACTTCAGGGATATCAGCAATGGACCCTTCCAATGATGCCTTCCTAATAGCCAATAATTTTGTGGCTGCCCCTTCTGGAGGCTGCAGCCACACAGACTCCTAAGGCATGGCTTAGAGGGCCACAGAAACAACCTCAGGGTCTCAGGAAGACACTGGGGCTAGTTGCCCCAGACCAAGAGGAGATGCCTGACAGCTGCCGGAAAAATCACCCCTTTTAGATAAAAAAGAGAAAGCTCAGCTTCTTTTTCTATCTCACAAACCCACTCTTGAGTGTCTTCCTGCGGGTCCCAGGATTCCAGTGTGTAACGTGATGGGTGATGAGTGTGGTCCCAAGGGTGAGAGAGGGCAGTTCACTCTCTCTAGGCAAATATAGTCAAGGTTAAGCCCAAGTTTAAACCAGACCTGAGTTGAACAGAATTTCTGTTTTTAGTTTTTTGAGGACTCTCCATACTGATTTCCATAATGGTTGTACTAGTTTACATTCCCACCAATAATATAGAACCCCTCCCCGCCAGCCTCACCAGTCCTCCAGGGGACCTTACTCCCTCCATGACATGGCCCAGAGCAGGTGCTGCACAAAAGACTTGTCACCACAGAGGGCTCCATTTGCTAGCAGGAATAAAGGTCCCTCTGGCCGCTTGTGTTGTCCTCATGAAACATTCCCAGGAGCAGCAGCCTATGCTCAGCATGGGATCTGGACCCAGCCTTCTGTCCCCCAGGCCTGGGAGTGCAGCCGGGCCCACAGGCTGGGAAGGTCCCTAAGAGGGAACTCACAGCCAAGAGCGGAACTCCTGCCAGTCACCCCCCTGCGGAGCCACTGTAAGAGAAGCAGGCCAGCAAAAGTTCAGATGGGGAGAGAGAAATATAGGGAGATGAAAAGCCCAGGCAAACCATCCAACAAGAAGGCAGAGTCCTGGCTTCCCAGGCTACAGTGATAGCTGCACAGGGAGTCTTTGGCCCTGCAGACACACCCACACCTTTCTCAGCCCTGCTCTGGGCTCCTGCAGGCTGCCTGTGTGGACAGTGTTAAGAGCTGAAGAGAGGGAAAGGAGATCAGGGATGTCCTCCTGCCACTGGCCTGTGGGATTGCCCTCCTTGATTCATCAAAGTCCAGGGACCCCTGCATCCTGCATCCTTTCCTTCTCCCATGGTTGTCATATCTCTCTTGGTAGTTCTTTCTATACTACTCTATTACCTTCCTCTTCCTGTAGCCCAGGGGTCTGTCACTATTTAGGGCACCTGCATTACCCTTGGGGTTCTCTCACCCTGCTCCCCACTTTTGTAAATTATCCCTATAATAAGCCCTCTTGAGAGTGTCCTAAACTGACTGAATCTTCTGTTTCATGCTGCCATCCTGATTTAAAGGGCTACCTGTCCTGGATTCCCTGGGATAACCTGGTGTGCAATCATCAGCCCACTGCTCCACATGCAGTCCTGGCTCCCTCCTCTCTTAAATCCCAGCCAAGCACAAGGCAACTCTGCTGACCTTCATTCTGCTCCAGCCCACTGGCAGACCTTCAGGGTTCCAAGTCCAAATAGCTCAGGCCACAGATTCATTCCCCTGGGGCACACCTCCTTTGTGACTTCACACACTGAAGTCACCAGGGAGACAGTTCTGAATGTTCTGTCCTAGAGATGTGGTCTCTTAGGAGGCAGTGACAGCAGACCTGCCTGCCCAGAGAACTCTATCCACAGTGTAATTGAGGTTGCTGGTGGCCCCGCAGAGATTTAGATGGCAGGCTCAGAGGCACTGGGCACTAGCACCTTACATAAAAATGAATGTCCTTAAGCAAAAAGGCTATACCGTAGGTATAACCTGGGGAGAGGATTTGTAAGGGAAAAGTCAAATTTGCACATTTTGAGTACCTAATGGTTAGCATGGTAGTCAAGATAATCAACCACCAAAAAGCCCCTGAGGAAAAACCACCCTTCCATCACCAAAACCGAGATCTTTGAGGCATCATACAAAGTCTACATCATGATGGAGCTCAGAGTTGAGGGCAACTTCCTTGAATTCATCAAAACCCAGGGAGCCCTGAAAGAGAATTATGCTTCCAAGAAGTTGTGCCAGCTGTCCTTGGCAGTCAAGTATTGCCATAGCTTGTCCATCACCCACAGAGACCTCAAGCTCAAGACCTTCCTCCTTGACAAGGACATCAACATCACGCTGTCTGGGTTCAGCTTCTCCAAGTGCTGCCTGCAGGGCAGGAGTGGCCAACTGACTTTAACTAGACCTTTTGGAGGTCAGTAGCATACTCATCCCCTTAGGTGCTATATAGTACATCCTCCTTCAGTAAGCCAGAGCGACAGGGTGAGGGATACTCCCAATACAGTAATGCCACCGTCACTGTATATAGAACCAATCAAACAAGGGCTATTTTGGACCAGTCAGAAACTTGCTATTTTCATTCCTTCATTTGAATCTGGTGCTGTTCACAAGACCAATCAGAAGATGCTCTTTTCAATCATTCATTTGCATGTGAGCACAACCAACCAAAAGACACTATTTCTGATTCTTTATTTACATGTATCAGGAAGCCAAATGTGTGTTTTTTGTTTTGTTTTGTTTTTTTGGTACTGGGGATTGAACTCGGGACCTTGTGCTTGCGAGGCAGGAGGCAGAACCACTGAGGTAAATCCCTAGCCCGCCAAATGTGGGGTTTTTTGGGGTTTTTTTGGTACCAGGGATCAAACTCGGGTCCTTGCGCTTGCGCAGCAGGTGGAGAAACACCTGAGCTAAATCCCCGGCCTGAAATGTGTTTTTTGATAGGACAGTTTATACCTGGCATGATGTTAAGTGAGTGTTTGATAGGACAACTTTCAGCCTTATTTGCCTGAAAGACAGATAATTCAGGAATTTGAGTATAAAAGATTTCTTTCCCTTTAACTGCAAGGCCACTGTGAGCCTTTTAATTGGCCCACTTTCACTCTGCAGAGCTTACTTTTTTTCTGCCTTCAATAAATGCACACTTTCACTGCCTTTTTTGTGTGTCTTGTCCAATTCTTTGTTCAGGACACCAAGGACTTGGAAAGAAGTCCAGTAAGACCCTCCATCCAGTAACACTGGACCTACACATCTGACATCAAGAGCCTACCCACGATCCTCCAAGACATGATGGTTTGTGGCTCCATGCCCTATGACAGGTCCAACATCATGAAAATGCTGCACCCACAGAAGGAGCATTAAGACAACTTCCTGTGTTCCAAGTACCTGCTAATGAATGCCAGGACCTCATCTACCATGTGCTACAACCCTATGTCAACTTGCAGCTGCACGTTGATGAGACCCCCCAGCCACTGCTGGGTGCAGCCCAAGGCACAAAGTCTGCCTTCTGTGGCCATCAACAAGGAGTTAGAGGAACAGGGATTTAGCTCAGTGGTACAGTGCCTGCCTGGCAAGTGCAAGGTCCTGAGTTCCATTCCTGGTGCTGAAAACCAAAAAACAAGGAGCTGGAGAGCTCCCCAGGCCCAGTCTTCAGAAACTCTGAAACTTGGCTCTGAGAGGAAGACTCCCACCAAGCTGGAGTAAAAAGCACAGCCTGAGGCACAGGCAGAGAAAAACACCAAAAAAGATAAGGTGGAAGTGGCCAGTCAGTCAGAGATCCTGAGCTTCAGCAGCAAGCAGCTGACCAGGGAAACAAAGGAGGCCCCTCACCACCACCAGCAGTCTCCAGAAATGCGCAGCTAGTGAGCCAGGAGGCCATCAGGGAACAGAGAACTCAAAGGATAAGCCAGAGAAGAAAGACAGTCCTGGATTCTTTTCGTTAGTTTCTTGTTCCTCCATTTGAACTTCATAATGAACAAATAAATCATTGAATTCATGTCTTTGTCCAGCTGACTGCAGTCCTGGGCTCTCTCTGGCTTCCCAACTCACATGCTAAACAAGCAGTCTATCAGTACTGTATATTAGTGCAGACACCAAGATGAATGTTTTTCCCAGGTGACTGCTGTTCTGGGTTCCCTCTGGCTTCTCACTCATGGGAAAACACATCCCAGGGTGCTCAGCCCAGACTGTTAGCTCAGGCCCCAGCTGAAGGAGCTGCACCAGTCAGAGGCTGGTTGGGGGAGACAAAGAGGGGAAGGGGTCAGAGCAGAGAGCTGAGTAATGAGGCAGAGAGCAGAGTGAGGAAGATGTTACATGCAGAGGGTGGTCCGCCAGTGCCGAGTGGGAGTAGGGAAAAGACAGGAAGAGTGAGGCAGAGAAGGAGAGACACGGAGAAGGGTGGGAGGCCACGGACTCTCACACTGGGAGATTTGGCTCTGGCTGCATTTGGAGCTGAGGATCTAAGCAGCAAAACAATCATCAACCCTAAGCATCCAGCTGCATGAGGCCATGGGCGGGGGCTGGGGGAGACTGCAGGGGGCAGGCCAAGCAGCCTGTCATCCTTCTTGAGCTCCCCAACCTGCTGAGTGACTTGTTTTCCTTCTTTTCCCACCACCAGGTCCTCACATGTCCAACAGGCACTCAATTCTCAACAGTGTCTAGAGTCATCCTGTCCAGGAGGAGAGAGAGCTAAGCTAGATGGCCCAGTATGACCCACAGTCCAGTGTGGCCTTGACCACATCCCACTTCCCTCCAGTTCCTGCTGGAGCTGAGAAGCTGACACTGGTGAGGAGGCTAGGTAGGCAACTTCACAAATCTTGCCTGGATACTGTGAGCAAAAAAGGCAACCACTGGTATCCTGTGGTGGGTGTGGCCTGCATTGGCACCACTGGCTGCCATGTACTTCCCACCCTGCCTGTGCCATGTCCCAGGCAGTCCTCACCTTACCACAGCAGCCCCTTCCTCTTCACCTTAACCTGGACAACTCCAGCGGGGCTTGAGGGTTTAATATGCACAAAACAAAAGCATTCCAACTCACCTGGTCCCCCAGCCTGTATCCACCTTGGAAAGACCCCAACCCCCAGACCTCTGAGAGAAGTAGAGCCCTTCAAGCTCCTGGATTTGCCTCCCTATACCATTATCCACATACAGTCCACCTCCTTCACCACACAGCACCTTACCCTTCCCATTGGCTCCCACAGCAGTCAGACCCACCTCCTAAACCCAGTCTGGCTCCCACCCCTGTAATACCTGGAGGCCCTCCCAGGCCTGGCCTTTTCTGTTGACTCATCCTTCCTCTGCTGCCCCTCACCCCAGGTCTGCCACTCACCCAGGGTCCTCATCCACACATGTGCCGTAATCATATCGTGGACTTTTGTCTCTGCACACTCTGCCCACTCCCCAGGCTCATAGAGTGGTGGATGAAGCCACTCACTGGATTCCCAGAAGCTCTGGGCTTATGCCAAGCTGATACTTGCCTCCTCTGGCATGTACCCTAAGAACCAGAGAGACCAGAATGTACTGGGCAAAGGCAGGGCCCAATACAGCACAATGCACAAAAGAGGAAGAGTGAGTTGTTGGAGTCAGCTGAGAAGGCTGATACTCAGAAGGATGCACCAGATGGAGCACTGGGAGTGCAAGGAATACTGGAGAGGACAGAGGTGTTATGCTTTTGGGTCCTGGCCTATAAATCTTAGTCTCTTCTGGGACACAAGGAGAGAAGTTCTGGTCACTTCGGAAAAAATAAGTCCCCAGGAGAAAGGAATGCACTAAGCTAAAGCTATGAACCACCAGTGCTCTACATAGCCTGGGTGAGACTTGCAAGGCTGGTGCTGCCAGAAGGTGGTCACTATGGGCTCATCTGTCCACCCTGCCCATCCTGTCTCTCAGCCTGGAGGGTGACTGGCTGCCAGACACAAGACACACCCTACCTGTTCCAGGTATGTTCCCACCACGATGCTCAGCCAAAGACGACATGGCTGCCTAGCATGTCTTTTCCCTTGCTGGGGCCCCGCTGATCCTCTGCACTTAGACTCCTACATCACTTACTCTTTGAAAACCACCACCACCCTCCATATAGAAATAGGCGTCTCTGCTCTCCCTATGACCACTGCACCCCTCATTCACCTATTTAGACACTTCCCTATGGCAAAGGATGCCTGTGACAGATGACAAATAGCTATCAGGGTCTGCAAAGTAGCTAAGGAGGAGGCCATTTTCCAAAGCAAAAATCCATGCACCAGGTACAAAAGACAGCTGAGACACAAATGATATGTAAGTCAGAGTTCCAATAGGTGACCCCGCCACACCTCTCAAATGTCCAAAATGGAGAGAAGCTTGCTGAGTGCCTCCAGCCCCTTGGATCTCTCCCTGCACCAAGGCCCTGCCACATGGCCTATCCACTCACTGACTGGATCCAGGCTGGCCCTGCTCTAGCTTCTTCTGTCTCTTAGGTGTCCTCCTTTGCCCAGCCTCTTTGGATCTGCCCAAGGCTCTGATCACCAAATCACCCCCAAGCCAATTATCCTCTTTCAGCCAGTTGCCATCTTAAAATGGGACTTGGATTGTGCAATGGCTGCCTATCATCTAAAGAAAAAACCTGCTACCTTCTCCTCTTCTCTCTTGATTTCTATTTCTTAGCCATTCTCAGAAGCTCTTTCCCACCTATGTGCCTCAACGCCTGCTCCATCTGGTCAAAGCCCTATCCATCCTCCATGCCAATCCTACTCCTTGGAATGTGCATCTGCCTGCCCCAGTCCCTAGGCCCACTCACTGGGGGCATCCTCAGGGCTGCTGGTTTTCCCACCCCTATAAATGCTCCTGCTCACCAAAGCAGCAGCATTTCCTCTGCCTGGCTCTAACTCAAGGAAAAGACATGGAACTGCTTTCATCCACCAAGCTTGGAAACACTGCCGGCTCAGCTGGACTAGTTCAAAGGACACCACCTCTGCAGGAACTTTTCTTCACACTGTGAAGAAGCTGCAGGAAATTGACCCTTGTGGGACAAGGACCAATGCAAGTAAGGCCAGGTGAGGGAAACAGGCTTGGAGCTGACACTGGTGGGCCTAGACCACCTCCCCTCAGGCCTGACTTGTGCAGGGAAGCCACAATGAGAAAGGTGAGCAGGAAGAACTGCCACAGTCTTAGGTGCAGGATTCCTTCCAGTGGGCTGGGGAGCTGGTGCTCCTTTTAGGCCAGCCTGGCTTCCAGGATTCCAGGAGTCCTGCACCCCCAGACCAGTCCACCCCTCCCAGCATCCTGGCTTTATGACTTCATTTGCTGAAGTCACCTGGGGACAATGCTAAGCATTCCGCTGCCCCAAGCCCAGGCCCAGCCTGGCCAGAGGACTCCCCATAGTGGAAAAATGAAGACAATTCCTACTGGCTGGCGCAAGGAGGGGGTGTAGAGGGCAGTGGCACCAGCCGGTCCTGGCACCATGGACGATGCTGCAGTCCTAAAAAAGAAGGGTTACATTGCGGGAATCAATCTGGGCCAGGGTTCCTATGCAAAAGTCAAGTCTGCCTACTCAGAGCGCCTCAAGTTCAATGTGGCGGTCAAGATCATCGACCGCAAGAAAACACCCACTGACTTTGTGGAGAGATTCCTTCCTCGGGAGATAGACATCTTAGCAACTGTCAACCATCACTCCATCATCAAGATCTATGAGATTTTTGAGACCTCTGATGGATGCATTTACATCGTCATGGAGCTCGGTGTCCAGGGAGACCTCCTGGAGTTCATAAAGTGTCGGGGAGCCCTGCATGAGGATGAGGGACACAAGATGTTCCGCCAGCTCTCCTCAGCTGTCAAGTACTGCCATGACTTAGACATTGTCCACCGAGACCTTAAGTGCGAGAACCTTCTCCTTGACAAGGACTTCAACATCAAGTTGTCTGACTTTGGATTCTCCAAGCGCTGCCTGCGGGATAAGTGTGGGCACATTGTCCTCAGCAAGACCTTTTGTGGGTCAACAGCATACGCAGCCCCCGAAGTTCTGCAGGGCATCCCCTACCAGCCCAAGGTGTACGACATCTGGAGCCTGGGCGTTATCCTCTACATCATGGTCTGTGGCTGCATGCCCTATGATGACTCCAACATCAAAAAGATGCTGCGCACCCAGAAGGAGCACCGCGTGGACTTCCCTCGCTCGAAGAACCTGTCCAGTGAGTGCAAGGACCTCATCTATCGCATCCTCCAGCCAGACGTCAACCGGCGGCTGCACATTGATGAGATCCTCAGTCACTCATGGCTGCAGCCCCCCAAGCCCAAAGCTATGTCTTCTGATTCACTCAAGAGGGATGGGGAGGGCAAGTACCAGGCTGAGTACAAACTGGACACCAGGGCAGGCTCAAGGCCTGAGCACAAGGCCGACTACAAGCTGGGGGCTGAAACCCACCACCAGTCCAAGAATGAAGACAGGGTGGAGGATAGGCTGGCCGAGACCTCCAGAGGTAAAGAGCATCACATCCCTGGAGCTGAGGTGGGGAAGGCGAGCGTCTAGCGGTGGAGGGGGCCCTGGAATGGGAGGAATGTGCGTGTAGTTTGCGCTCATGTAAACCAAGTAGGCAGGCAGGAGCTGAAGAAGGCACAGGTGCCAGGAACAAGTAAAATCTGTCAATCCACTAGTTTGACTATGTTCTTTCAGCTTTCTTCCACTTCATAGCAAAGATCTTAATTACTGACCAACAAATAAACCACAAAGTGTATATAAGCATAGAGAATCCCAAGAGGGGCCTTTTTCTCTAGGACTCAGCTGAGGTGGGATCTCCAGCTCAGGGGTCCAGGGACTGGTGCTCAAGCACAGGCAGAGTCACAGTGAGGCTTGTGGCAAGGAGAGGATGTTTATCATCATCCGTCTGCCAGGCCCACTCTTGTCCACCTCTGACCTGCCCCAGATTCCCAGGCCCCTGGGGCTAGACAGCTCCACAACTCTTCTTAGCCTCAAGTGGTGGACACACTGACCCCATCCTGCTCCCTCACACAAATCTTACCTCAATGTTCTCCTTCAACTTCCAGGGTCATTTGAGATTGGTGACCTTGGCGGCTCGAGCTCCATCCTTGCTTTTTCCCAGGGGCAGCCCAACTGAGACCATTCACTGGCACCTACCCCTCCCTGTGGACATGCAACCCTATACCATGCGACAGCCTTTGGTGATGGGATGTCCAGTCTCTCATGTTTCCTGTTTGGTCATCATCCCTCCCCAGAGCACACTATTTACACACTGACCAAGTGACCCCAGATCTCTGCCTCCTACTTCCTGGGAATCCCCTTGGGTTAAAGCCAAACCTTCTGTATAAGTCAAAATGACCCAGAGGCTTACCGTCTTGACCCCTAAACATCCCAGCCCAGACCCCAGCTTCAACCTCCAGGGAGTTCCAGGGCAACCACCCTAGGGGCTTGTAGGAATGCACTGTGGGGGAACACAGGTTGGTAGAGGGCCCAAGCTGGAGTCAGGCCCTAGAATGGCCTCCAGAGAACCTCTGCATTTAGAGAGGGGGTGAGAAGACCCATACAGAAGACTGGAGAGAACATGTAGGCCTCAAAGCAGGACTCTAAGCCAAGTCCAGTGTGTGCCCTGAGCCCCCAAACAGTGAACATTCTTGTGACCTCTACCTGAGGCCTAAACACACAGTCCTGGACACAGCCAGGCCAGGAGTAAGGCCCCTCACCTCTGAAGAGACAGTAGGTTCATGGGTCCAGCTGGCTGCCACCCAAGTGAGGGTGGCCCCCATATCCTCAGCCCATGCTTGGCCCACAGGCAAATGCCACCCCACGGTGCACACACCATCTGCAGTCTGTGTGGAACCTGACCATATTTATTTTTACAATGCCTCTCGCATTGTGCAGATGCTAGTGCCTCAGTAGAGTCCAGTGGGCAGTGCCAAGAGCAGTACAAGAAGGCAGAGAGCAGGACGGTAGAGATGACTCAGACCCACTTGAGCTGGAAACTGGGAGGTAACAGCTGAGGCTACCAGGAAGGTGACTTATGCTGGTTTGGGCTTAATAAGTAGGATCTACAGGGCCCTACAACCAGAAAGCTCAAACAGGCCAAGCCTGCCAGGAGGCTACAGGCCCAGAGCCCCAGTGACCCAGAGGACACTATTTCTAAGACCTCCATTTCTCCTTCAGAGGTGAAGACCCGGGGAGAAGAGGGTGTGTGCACTCTCAGCTCAGAAGCATGTCTGGGAGCCATCCACAGCTTCTCCTCCACAAAGGGCCCTTGCCTGGAGCCCTCAACTCCTGTGACTGATGCAGGCCTGGGGTCTCGGGCCTGGGGTTCAAGGCACAGCATGGAAAGGAGGCCCAGCCAGACTGTGCCAAGTGTTCTTTCACAGAAGTTCAGGTGGGGTTAAATAGAAAACAGTTCCAGCAAGGCCTGGGGATCAGCACAGGTGCCATATTCCAAGAGGAGTGCCTGTGTGTCCTGTGCCAGCTTGGCTGTGGCAGAACACCTATCATCTGTGCTTCCTGTGATGATCAATGTCCTCTAGTCAGAGTTTGGGTCCCCAGCGGCTGGAGTCCTCTCCAGGTAGGTAGCTGCCCTGCAGGCTCCACAAAGTGTCCACAGATCCAGCCCAGGCCACTTTGAAAACAAATACAAGGCTTTGTGCTGAACACAGAGCTGTAGCAGGTTGTCTGTGATGGAGGCCAAGTCCTGCCTGGGGGGCAAAGCCAGAACCTGGTGTACTCATGGGAATCTGAACCCCACCAGCCGGGGTCTTGAGGTGAGTTGAGCATGGTGGGGATGGGTGTGTGGCTGGCCCAGAGGGCACGGTGTGTGTGCTTGCTGAGTGTCCTGCTCATGATGCGCTGCAGATCTGGGGACATATCTGGGCTCGCATGTTTCAGGATGAAGCTGGTGTAGAGGGTTAGGCAGAACCAGCAGCAGGGCTCCCTCAACCCCTCAGGAAGAGCCTTGTTAGATTCAGTCATTCTGAGCTGAGGACAATGCTGGAAAGCCTGGCTCACAGCAGTGAGGTGAATTAAGTGGCAGTGCTGCCTTTGGCTGTGAGCTGGGGGACAGGTGGGGGCCAGATCTCTGAGAGTTTGTTGTCCCCATTACTGTGCAAGGGGAATGACAAAACTGGCTCACAGGGCTAACTGGAGCTCACGATGGGACAAGTGATCTAAAAGTACTTCTTAATGACAGGCCAAGGAGGATACGGAGGAAGGAAGCTGGAGAGAGGCCTGCAGCCTGGTCCATGAGCACCCGTGTTCTGGAGCAGAGATTCAGCCAGGGCCCCACTGTAGAACCCCGTGGACTTGTCCTGGGCTCTGCCGTGCAGGCCACACATCCACATAGCTCTATATAGGCAAAGCAGGGACACCAGAAACACCAGCTCAACCCCACCCACCCCAGCCCCACTTCTACCTCTGCCAGAGGGCCTGGCCACCCCTCACTTGGCCAGGATCCCTGTCATCTCCACAAGGCTTCCTGCTATAGTACTTGCCTTGGGGCTTGGGAGCTGCCTCATTGGTCATCCTCAAGCCCAGTCACTCCCTGGGGCTGGGATCCAAGATCTACAGGGCAGCAGGCAGGTAGGTTCTGGACTTGCCACCAAATCAGACAGTTCCTCATCTGAAAGAGCATCTACTGTGGCCATCAGCCTCTTCCCCTGGCTGCCATGATCCCAGCAACCCACCATTGTCTCCCCTTAAAAGACTGTCAAAAACTTCCACCTGGCCCACCAAACCTGCCCACTTTTTTTTTTTTTGGTACCGCTGACTGAACTCGGGTCCTTGCGCTTGCACAGCAGGCAGTGAAACCACTGAGCTAAATCCCCGGCCCAATCTGCCCACTTTGCTAGGGCTCAGCCCTCTCACCTGTCCTCAATGGGTCTCATGCCCAGGACAGCCAAGGCATGAGCCTCTGACATGGTTTTAGGGACAAACATCTTTCTGTCTTTACTGGCTTTCCATGTTTCTTTTAAGAACCTTCCATTTGTAAATCCAGCCTCTTTTTTTTTTTATAGAGATGCCTACTTTGTTTTTTGTTTTGTTAATTATAGGAGCTTTCTCTATAAAATTAAATCACACTATACACATTTTTTTCAGTTATTTTGTTTTTTATGATAATTTCTGCTGTACAAAAGTTCATTTTCATGTACAGTAATCCCCCTTATCCTTGGAATACATACCAAGACCCCAGCAGATAAGTGAAGGCTGGGATAATACTAAAGCATACATAATTGTTTTTTCCTAGACACATCATAACAAAGTATTTCTTACTTGGACTATGGTTTCTTTCAGGACCATTCTCCTTTGCTATCAGCCAACAGTCTCCAGGCCCAGTGGCACTTTTCTGACACATCAATGGCCCGAGAATATGCTTTAATGTTTGATACCATAGGTCTTTCTTTGGTTATTCCTCTCTTAAGTTTTTTTTGGTTATCCTTACATCTCACACAAATTCTAGAACCAAGGGCATCCCAAACCCCTGCCTATGTTTTGTGTGGACATAGAGCACGTCTAAGGACTCTGGGGAACTGCCAGCAGTGCTGCACGGGGAGGCCTTCCTGGCCCCATGCCCTCAGGCTAGGTATGGGCTGGATGTTCTCCTCAGGACTGCAGCACAACTTGTTGTTATAAGTTTTTATTATTACACAATATCTCTCTCTCTCTCTCTCTCTCTCTCTCTCTCTCTCTCTCTCTCTCTCTCTCTCTCTCTCTCTCTCTCTCTCTCTCTCTCTCCCCCTCCCTCCTTCCTTCTCTCCCTTCTTTCACCCTTTCCATTTCAAACTGATCACTGCCAGTGTTGGAAGATACTGGCAAGATGACCTCTGACCCAGCCACTGGACCAGATCTGTATATTCATTCTTGACCCTACACTTGATTCTCTTAGGTTTCCAAAGGAGATGATATAATCCACACTTTGGCCTCTGGGACAACACAAACTCCCTCCCTCCTGTGATTTCATGACACCCCAGAGACAACATGTGTAAGGGTTCAGCACCCTACCAGTGGAACATCCATGCTCCCAAGTTTCCCTTCTTCCTTTTCCAAATGACTCCAAGCACTCAGTTTCCTCACAGACTCCCTGCAGACCAGGGCATCTTGCCTTCCCCATGGTTCTCAGGGACATACCTGGCCACCTACTCATATACGCCATCCTGGGCCACCACCCAATTTCATCTTTAGTATATGTGCTGCCTAAGTGAGCATGGGCCATTCGATTTCTACAGGCTCTCTGCCCCCACCTTCTCACCCTGCCTGGAACTCAGGGGCCACATGATGTACCCCCATCTGGCCACATCTGACCCAGCCCATGAAGAGTAACCCTGGCCTACCCCAGGCCTCACATACTCCACTCCACTCCCTTCTACAGTGCAAGGATGCAGCCACACCATGTGGGGTGTCCTTCACTGTGCCCTGTAACTATAGCCCCTCTGCCAGCACACAGCCCTTCTGAGAACACAAACCATGTGCCAGGGCCTTCAGGCCAGCAGGGCAGCAGAAGCTCCTGGTCTGACTCTGTGACCATCTCATCTCATCTGGGAACAGCTCCTGGCCTCCATGCCTAGAAGGGGCACAGGTCACTCCCTGCCTTGGTGCCTTGGCTCTACTGCCCCAGATGCCTCCTTGACAGATCTGTCTCTGTCTTTAGCTCCCTGGCATTCAGAAGTGCCATTGCTCAGCCCCACCTTGAAGGCTGGTTCTGGTGTCCTATACACGTTGAGGGTCTCTGAACCTTCAACTCTCAGCAGTGGGTTCTCAACCTCTCCTTGGGTCATCAGCAGGAACTCATTTACATCTGCAGATGGAGAGCCCAGAGTTACCTCAAGCCAGGGAACCCTGGTTAAGGTTCCACCCCAAGCTCTCCTTCAACCATAGCGGGGTAACCCCATGTCCATCCCAGTTAACATCAAAGCCAGCAACTAGCTCTCTGTCCTTCCACGGGATTCAGGAACACTGGCATCTCCATCCTCTGAGAGGGAAAGCCCAAGGTCACCAGGGACCCAAAGCAGGACAGGCATGCTACCTTTGGGAAGCAAGATCCAGCTGAGCCCCCAGCACAAGGCCAGGGGCTTCTTGGAGGCTACACCTACTCCAAGGGAGGAGAGACATGCAGGTTCCCAGGGCTCCAAAACCACCTAGGACTCAGGGCAAACCTGTGGCCTCCACATGCCCTTGTCTTCATCAAGCAACCAGTACCTGAGAGCACAGAGGCCAGTGTGAGAAAGGCAGAGGGATGCCCTGTGCATTGAGGAACTGACCCAAATTTTTTTGGTACCGGGAATCAAACTCGGAATCTTGCTCTTGCAAGACAGGTGGCAGCACCAGTGAGCTAAATCCCCCGCCCCAGATCAACCTTATTCTTGGAGGCATAAAGCCTCAGGACGATGCCTCTGTAAATGTGTTAAAACCAAGGAACAATATGCTCTAAAGGGATGAGTGTTGTGGTGTCTATGAATATGTTGCCAAGGTGAATAAAGACATGAACACAGCTTCCCTCTAAGAGACCATCTCACCTTAGATACGCTCCCAAAGGCAGTCAGCCCAGCACAAAGGGGATCCTGCACATGGACCTAACCAGCGCCACAAACCCCAGCCCAGTAGGTGCCCCTCCAATCCCAGCTTTCCAGTTCAGTCCTGGAGATGCCCATCAGCTGGTGTACCTGCCATGGGGGATTTCCTGGCCCATGCCACTCTGCATTCAACCTGTGCTGTGCACACACAGCCACTGTGGAAGGCAGGCCCTCCTTACCCACCATCCAATGTCCTCACCTCTCTGCTAGACTTCCAGGCATTTCCTCATGGGATGGTAAAACAGCCTGTGAATGAAGACTTATTTTCTCACTTTGCATCTGCAGAAGGAAAAACAGCCCAATCTTGTGACTTGACAATGATGAGACATAACTGTGGAAATGAAACCCAGCTCCACTCTTAAAATAAAGGCCTTCTGTCCACCTGTGTCAGGACATCATGCTCCCATGGCAGTGTGGCAGCTGTAGGGAGGCACCAGGAGACCAGGCTGATGTAGGAAGCATCAGCCATATTTTGGACCCCATAGAGCTGTTTCCTTCAGGAAGAGGGGCACTGGTTGCACACTGGCTGCCTTTTCCAGTCCATATCCCCATCAAGGTGGATGGGACAGCATGATGCAACCTCTTGAGGTGTCGCTCTGTAGATCTCTGCATACTGTTATCCCTTAAACAATCCCCACAGCCAAATGCAGGGCCTGGCAGATGTGCAGTTGGTTGCCATTTGCATACTTACTCTTCAACACACAGGGCCTGGGGGTCAGGAGCCAGGCTCAGGAGACTGCCTAGGATCCAATCCTGGTACGTGCCCAGTGGTGTATGTCCACAGTCACATGTGTGCCCACCCTGGGTTTCTGGGAGGTCTGAGTGAACAGGCTCACAGAAAACACTGAGCATGGAGCTGGCAAGATCTCTTTCTCACAAGGAAACCTGCCTACTTGTGCACCCCTTACACCAGTCCTGTGATGTCTCACACCAAGCATCTACTGGGAACATAGGCTAGCACACCCTGGCTATACTGATCAACTGCAGCTGTCCCCACAAAAGGGACCAATGAAAGGGGCTGGGCCACAGTCCCACAAGGCAGCAACAGAGCTCACCTGCCCCTGTCTC